AAATAATTGTTTTTTTGCATATAAGTGTTGATATTTATACAATAATTTCAGTATTTTATATTTATTAGGTTTATGTAGTTTAAGAAATATTATTATACCATTTATTTAAATACTTATTTATAGATAAAAATAACTAGCTATTCATTACCATAGTTATACTAAAGAGGTATCTCTCAATTAATATTGGTTTTTTTTTTTGAAAAATCAATATATAAATTTTTTTAGCATTTAATGTGTAAATAATAAGTATTTATTTATTACTTTTAATAATTTTATTAAGGAGATATTACTTATTACTTAATTAATTGAATTACTGAATTGGGGTTGTATTGTTGAGAATAATTTTATGAAATACATAGAATTATCTATGAGAATATTATATTATTAAAATAGGAGAGAGGGATATTAATTTGTTAATTATCAAAAAAGTAATAATAACATTAATTTCTTGTAGTGATTTGGTATGATTCAAAAAAAAATTATTAATTTTTTCATAGACATTTCTGTTGATAAAATATATCACTGTAATTATACTCTAATAAAAAATATAATACTATTATTGTGACGTTCTTTTTTTTATATCATTTTAGTTCTTTATTTATCCAATTCAATTATTTTTATATGTAACAGATAAGTGTCATGGTCACCAATCAAAAATTACAAAGTTTTTTACATAATTTCTACAGGATAAAACAAAAATAAGTATTTAGTTAGTCTAACTTTTTATTAAATAAACTTTATAAAATATTATTACTGACTTAATGTAGTCTTAAAGTAATGAATTTGTATAATCTAACTTCATACTAAAAATAATTAAAATAAATAATAAAATAATAAATATAATCATATTTATTTACTATTTTCTTTTATAGGCTATATCTAGATTATTCTAATAAACTCCTTACTCACGAATGAATAAATCAAAAAATAATACACCTTATAGAATTGTTCAAAGGCTATAGTTTTTCTGTATAAAACAGTAATTTGAATAATTAAAATGAGAAAAGAAAATAAAAAAAGTATTTTTTTATAAATTCTATAATGTGATATCTATCCACAAGTAAATTTAATTCTGTATAGAAATAGATGGAACAACTTTTTTAGATATTGTGCTTGATGGTTGTTGATCTTTTGTATTTTCTCTTAATGAAACATTAGTTGTTTTAATAAAGTTTGATGTATTAGATGATAAAGAAGTTAACTGACTTGGTACTGAAAGTTTAGATTCTTCAATAGAATGGCAACAACAATGTAATTCTTTAGGCTCTTCAATAGGAACTGTTTTGACTAATCCAGACTTTGCTCGATTTCTCCCTATAAAACCTTTTCTTGGGGTAGAAGTTTCACTAGTTGTATGAGAAATGAACGATTCAGAACCACTCTTTTCATTTGTTAATTGAATTTGTCCTTTAGGTTCAGGGGTTGAACGATCACTTGATGCAGATCTAGGAGAAACCGAAGCAAGTGGAAAGGCAACAACATTAGGACAATAACAAAATAAACCTCTCTCTTCTGGGCTTACTGTTTTAGCTGTTCTTTCATGGAGATTCCAACGAGGAGAAGGTGGGTTAACAAGGGTGCTCATAGATATAAAGGTATTGAATGAGAAGATCTTTAGTTTTCAGTTTTTATGATTTTAGCATAGAAGAGTGAAACAAAAACTGAAATTTTTAATGAAACGAAATTAATTTTTCATAGGGGTAATAAATTATCATATCTATTGTGGATAAACTCATATTTAATTTTCAAAACTCATAATGGTTTTATTAATGATAAATAACTAAAAAACACAAATAATTGAATAACATTTTTTTCTCAATATAATAAAATCACAATCCATTTGAAACAGCTCTTTTTGAATGTACTCCAATGCGAACAACACGTGGAGATAAACATAATTCAGGAATTAGCTGTTGAGAGTCAGTTAATTTCAATTTATTTTCAATATCTTTTGAAATATCATCAATACTTCTTTTAACAGGTTCGGTATGAATCTTTGAGGGTCTAATATTCCTTCTTGAGTATTGAGAGGTATCAGAACTTCTTCCGTACTTATGACTTGATACATTACTTTCTTCTTTTTGTTTTATCCCTTCAAGTAGTAATTCATTTACTGATTTTACTTGAGAGGAAATCTCTGGTAAAGAAAATGAATTTTTATTTAATGTATTGTCTAAATACTGTATGTCTGTTAGAGGTAATGAAGGCATTGCAGCAATTCTTCTTACATGTTTTCTAAGTTTTTTTGGAGGAGTTAAGTCCATTGGTTTGATTTCGGTCTTTTCGTTCATTTTGTTCAAGCAATTCAATTAAAAAACAATTTCATTTTTTAGTTTAGTTTAATTAGTTAAAATCAAAATTAATAAATTTTTTTATATTTAGATTTTTGTTTATAAAACTTTTTTTGAAATAATGTAACACATAGTACAAAAAAATAGTTATTAGTTTTTCATCTTATTTTTTCAATGTTATCTTTTTTTTTCCTTAACAAGCAGGAGTTCTACTTTTCTATTTCAATCTTTATATATCAAATGAAGGCCTATTAGTCAACTTTACTTAAAGTATTTTTAATGGATTTATTAAGAAAGTAATAAGATTTAATTTTTGAAATATTACTAATTTCAATTATTGTCAAAACTCAATCTAAAAATGTTTTTAAAAACACAAAAAAAAATAAAAATAAAAAGAGTCAAACTCAAAATCGTTTATAGTCAAAGAAATTTATGTCAAAAGGGTTTATTAGAAGAGTTATAAATCCTAGTTTTCAAGAAAAAGTTAATCAAATCATCAACCAAGAAGATCCACTTCAGTTAGAAATACGTGATAACTTTTTCTGTCCTAGTGGATTACCTCGAAATGAGTTTACTAGTCTCACACAATTAACAGGACTAACTATAACTTCAGTAGGACTAAAGGGTATTGGATGTCTTACTTCCTTACAATTAATTAATCTTGATTTAACTGATAACGATATATATTCATTCTCTGCACCTCAAATGACAAAACTAACATCATTAGTTTTAGATAAAAACCCATTATCAAGTATTGGAGAATTACCACCAAATCTTATTCATTTTTCATTGAAAGATATTGATTTTAGATCATTTGTTCCAGTATTCAAATCAGTTACAAAATTAAAAAATTTAACAAGTTTAAATATGGAAAGATTTGCTCCATGGAGAGAATCAAATGAAGAAAAGATTGAAGAGTTACAACAACAGTTTGACCAAATAAGTAATTTAGAAGATGAGTCATTACAAGGCAATATGGGAGAAAGGATAGCAATTCTTATTCAACGATTAATGAATCAAATAGATGAAATGACTAATGAAATACAAGGTGTTGAAGAATGTGACAATCCACTATTTAGTTATATTATCGCTTCATTACCAAAACTTGAAACTATTAATGGACAAAAATTAGATAAAAATTCTGTACTTATAAAACAGTATTCTTCTTATAATGAAACCCCAGTTATTAAATTTAATGAACAAAGACAAAAAGGAATACAAATGACAAGATTCGATACAGAACTACATTGTTGTAATAAGTGGAATAAAATTGAAGGAGTTAATAAACCTAGACAATTAGATTTTTCACCAATAACTGGAGAACTTGTTGTTGGTTCTCTTACTGGTGAAATCTATATATATAATGAACATTTTCCAATCAAAACAATTCCTTCTATTACTAGGAAACCAATCTATGGAATTGGTTGGTTTAGAACACACCAAAATCAATCTAAAGTTGTTATTGGTAATAATGAAGGAAATTTATTCTTAGTAAATACAAGTGATACGACTTGTAAACAATTACAATCTATTGAAATATTACTTTCACTTCATATCAATTCAAATGATGAATCTATGGTAACTACTGGTAATGAATGTGGTGTTACAATATTTGATACAAATACCTTTAAAATTAAACATAAATTTGATTCGATACATCAAGGTGCAGTCAATGTTGCTCGATTTGGTTCAATTGATCCTAATTTATTAGTTACAAGTAGTCATGACAAAACAATAAAAGCATGGGATCTCCGAACAAGAATGAATAATCCAATACAAGTAATGAAAGGAGTTTCTCCATTTAATAGTGTAGGTATAAATTCTAATGATACAGCAGTTGTTGCAGCAGGTAAAGATAATTATGTTGTAAGATTTGATTTGAGAAAAGGAGAGGAAGTACGAGG